CATTATATCTGTAATTACTTTAACAGTATTTCTAATAAGAGTGATATAAACTAACGGTAGTCTTTAGATATTTTAAAATGTTCCAATGTATACCTACATTTAAATAAAATTTAATCTGTGAGTACCCCTTTGATAAAAAGATTTTTATATAATAACACTAGGTTGTTTTATTCTAGTTCTTTTTAAATATATTGTACTCTTCATACTTAACAAACTTACAATGGCTGCAGCTCATGAACTAAAGATATCAGAAAATGCTTTAAACCGTTTCTAGGATTATACTACTTTAAAAATGCCTTTAAACGATATAAGTTATACCCCAAGGGAGTTTATACCATATTCGCATTTTGTCAACAAGTTACTGCGCATCGAAACTGGCGTACGTCCGTTGTACAATAACACAATTATATTTAAAATATAAAGTAAACAGAATAATTACAAAATATCTCAATAAAAATGTGTTAGTAGCATGCCAAAATAGTTTCACATTTTTTTATTTATCTATCGTAAATATTAAATATGAATTTATTCAATTATTTGTACAATGTAAATCTGACTTTGGATAACAAAACCCAAATCTCTTTAAAGCACGAGTCGACTCGATAGCCGAAACCCGAACGATACAAAATACAATAACAAACAATATGGCTGTCGATGTAAACAATTATAAGTGAGTTTTACTTTTATTTAATACAGTTTTAGGCATAAATTTAGTAATAGTTTACTGTAAGTAAACTTATTTTGATACTTTAACATGTCTATGTTTTATAAATGCATATATTTGATTGTAATAATAAATTGTTCTGGCCCATTTACACTGTTTTAGAACAAACATTTTTATTTTATTATCGACTGAAAAAAAAAAAAGGATTACTATTCGTATTCGTAATTGTGTTATCCCCAAATTTTGAAATCCTGAACAAAGCTTTAATTCTGATATTCATTTTGATAATAATTATTCTAGATATGCGAATTTAATTATATGTATTAACCAAGCTTTTTATTCTTGATAAGTCTTAAAGTATTTTCATTACTAAAGCAAGAAAATCTTAATTAGACCTTTATTATAGAAATTAGTAGTAAATTAAAAATTAGTTTAATCGCTGCAAATGCAAAAGTAATGAGTCACATTCAATCAAAATCATGTGTTTTAAGAAGTTTTTCGCTTTCAATGATTTTTTTTTTTGTTTCAGGATTTATGGATGGAACTCTTGTTTTATTTCGCACGATTAAAGAAAAATGTTTGTTTTGTGTTATTTAAAATAGTTGTTTCTTCAGAAAATCAGAAAATATATATTATGTTTATTGTTGTAAGCAATAAAGATTCTACAAATAATATTTAGTCAATACAATTTTGTATTATTTATTTTACACCTCTAAAATTATTTAACATAAAATTTTACATTTTTATTAGCATTTTTTAACACTCATGAGATTCGTGTTAAAAACATGCTATTGAAAATGTAAAATTCTTATATTTTGTTGAAGTAAATTCAAAAGCCTGCCAATTTTCTAAAATAGAATTACAGCTTTTTATATTACCGACTGAGTATTTATTAGTTGCGCAAAACTACCCCAAATTTCCTTCCTCCTTGTTATCCCTATACAGGGTGGTTCAACAATACAAAATTAAAAACCTAATTAATGGCCCTCCATGTTAAACCATACAGGGTAGTTCAATAATTAATGGCAGTTTTAGCTGAATTAAATCTTTTTATTCGAAGAGTACAAAATACTTCAATTCCCCTACAATTTCGGCTATTTTTTCTTGACTCGCAATTTACGAACTAGTCAGTTGGTTTTTCATAGTTTGCAGGCCCGCATTAGGAAACAACAAATTCATCTGGGATCAAAACAACATCCTGTATAACAGATTTAATACAAAAACAGAAGTCTGACGGACCGAAAACCACCATTTAGATTCCAGAAAACATGTTTTGCCATTTCTCCAAAATCAAGTCAATTAAGGATTGTAAAAATGGGAGAATTTTTTTTTTTTAATTTTTATCCTCAATATTCACAAAACCGAAAACGATACAAATGTGAAAATTGGTAAACATGGAGAGACCTATTTGATGATAATTGAAAAGCGTGTAAAACAAAATAGATTAAGCCTAAACACTTTAAATTATATTCATTAAAAATTACATCAAATCAAAATGAAATACTTTTACTACTGAAATGACTTTAAAAATGCCATTACATTTTATTTGTTACATTATAAAATACCAGCAATTGGCAGAATATTAGATAACCGGAATAGTTTTAAACTTAAACAAACGATTTAGATTTAGTTCAGAATTGCATATCATTGTTTTTGTCGCTAAATTCCAATGAGCAATGGGCTTATTTAAACACATTTTACATACCGTTATAACTGCAGTAATTAAAAGAATATAACTTTGGAATTAAAAAAACTAGATTGACAGTTTTACAGGAACATTGTCACAAAACCTAATGGTTGTATTCTGTTGCTATTGTCTATCATTGCCTTGATATTTAATCAGGTAGAGGTAGAGTACTGTACAATTTTAAAAAAAATGTTTTGATATAAAATGGTATTTTGCAGATATAATCTGGTATTTTTAAGAGCAAACCGGATCTCTCGTGAAAACAAAATGTTTTGAGGATTTTCTAATATAAAATTGTATTTATATGCGCGCCACTAGGAGTACTTCGCGATGTTATGTATCTCTAGAATATTAAGAGCTTTAAATGTGTGTAACAATAAAGCAGCACTCTACAGAGATGTTTAAAAAAAGGTTTGAGATACTCCCGTTTAAAAACTACTCTATATGGGTGATTCTCGCCTAACTGTGATTGTTTATGTCCAGTGTTTTATCGTTTAGCATAAGTTTTCCTCATCAAAAAGTTAATAATATTATAAATTTAGAGGTATTTTACAACCGACATTATGAATTAGATCATAAACCTTCGTAATTTTATTTAATTGTCTCGAACGCTCCCTGTGAATGTATAATTTTGAAACTTAAGATGTTTATTTTTATTAAAAAGAAGTAGGTATTTTACATAAAAAAAAACCGTACACAAGATAAAAACAAAAATTATTCATTTCAATTGAAAGAAATAGAAACCTCTAAGCCACTCCAAGCTAACTTACAATTCCAACAATTACAAGTAGCACGAACGAGAAGAGACGTTCAAATGCGCATGTGCTGATAAATTGTACGCGATGAAGCTCTGATCGTTTTGACAATCCACTGACTCATTCATGTACGAATCAGAAAATACGTTGGAAAGTTTTGCTGACAGTTCATCGGATTATCTGTGGCTTTGTAGGATAAGATTATTTTCAATGTGCATGCGTCTGACGTCCTTCTGATGATCAGATTCGCTGTTGGAACAAACCTATAATCTTCTGGAAAAATTTCAAAAACGAAGTTTTTTACTTCCATTCTGAGAAGTTGACAAATTGCAAAATATGGAGTGATCCAGGAAAAACGTTTCTAAAGTAGACCATGGAAAAAAGCATGTACAATTCTTCTTTATTGAATGACAGTAGTTATTCAGGGATGTGACTTGTTTCTGTCATAACATTTTTTTGGTTGTAGGTTAGGCGTTTTCGGATGGGTAAAATCTTCCCATATATACATAGCTATATAAAGTGATCATATTTTGAAAGGTAAAAAGCGGACATAAAAAAATCGAAAACTCGAAAAATCGTAAAAGGGAAAAATCGAAAAATCAAAAACCGTCGATGAAGACGAATTCTATTTTTTGCAGTAGTGTCGGTTTGGTTCATTGAAGAGCAAAAAAAAACGTTTACTATAATCAAAATTGTTTTTAATCGGACAGAAACGGAGAAAAGCGAGACAAATGTTAAATTAATCAGACAAAAGCGGGACACAATGGGGACAGATGTTAAATCGGGACTAATGGTTTAAAATCGTGACTGTCTCACTTAAATCGGGGCGAATGGTATAAGTATGACGTATGCACTTGGCCAGCAGTGGAAGTATTCTACTGGTGCGCATGCAGTGGCGTGCATACATGATGCTCGAATACATTCATATACCTGACTGTAAAGCACATGTCCAGTGTTGCTGATTTGTTTTCACTTATGTCGGCAGTCTTCAATGACTTCCTTATTTTTTTTCTTCTAAAGAACGAGTAATTTCATCCTTTGGTATTATTCAGTAAAAACTACGTAACGGCTCAGGGTATGATAAGGCCGCAAAATTAGTTTTTCTTTTTAAAGTCTTTAACAGTAGTGAAATGTCTTGTCAATAGTATGTTATTGTGAATCCCTCGTTATTTACAAAGAAAGAAAAAAAAAAATTTGGTATTTGTTTCTTTTTACATTTCAAACTGGATTTTCAGGCTATTTTTTTTTTAATTAATGTAAAATTGATTACTGAATGGCAAGCTCTATTCTTTTAATCAATTTAAAACAAATAAGATTTTAATATTTACTGTGTTATATGTATTTTATCGATTTATTTAGAGCCATTTCACAAAAGGCTGATGATGACTTTTATTCTATTTTGAAAAATGTATAATCATTTGTTCATTAATTTATTTATGGTACTAGCTGTTGTATTTAAAATCACTTTTTTTGTGAAATTATAGCCTTAGGGCCGACCGCAGAAAATCGTAGGGACAGATTATTTTAGGCTAAATTGAAACAAAAATGATAAATTATTAATTGCTAAACAACAGACCAATCATTGCTCTGTTTTGGTGCTACATTTTTGGAGCAAACTGAAACAAAAGCAACCTTAGATATTGTTAAAGAGGAGACAGTCAGCTTTAACAATGATTAGGGTTGCCTTTGTTTGAACACTCCAAAAATGTAACGATTTATTATTTTGAAGGGTGGGTAAAATAAGAGCCAACTTTGGTTGGTCTAGTATTTAGCAATTAATAACCTAACTTCTTCTTCTATTCAGCGTAAAATAATCAGCTCCTTCGATTTTATTACAGTCAGTTCTCAGTCTATTAGTTTTAAACGATGAAAGATACAAAAACAGTTATCTTACCATGGGTTCTTCCTTGCAGATTGTTTTAATGTCAGTCAAATGCTTTAGAATGGGCACGTCGTGTGGCTGCACCATTTCAGATAACAAACAGACATTCCTGAAGATGGTCAACCAGAACTCAGGAATGCCTTTCTCATCTTTTATTTCAGTTTCCTTGGTGTCCTCGATCTTGATCTTTTCCTTGACAGCTTCAGGCAGATCAACTTCATCGTCGGATGGCCATTGAGATTCATCATCATTGGGCTCATACTGTCCATTAACTATGGTGTTTCTCTTTTCATAGAAGGGCACGTACAGCTGATTCAATTAACATAAATTATTTTAAACTCCTTTAAAGAAGGATGTAAAAGTTATCAAGTAACACAACAATTCACAAATATACTGACTTTTTACAGAAACATACTATAAGAGGTTGATTCAATGTCAATTTAAAATGCTATTTTCAGTCAGTATTTTGATTATATAGGGCCTTAGTAAATCAGCCAGTTTTGAATTAAATATGAATTAATACAAATAATTATTTTTTTTTTATATATTTTATAATTCAATATTTTAGTTGACTATTATCTGATGTAATATAATATGAATATATATACAGTATGTCTGAAAAAGTTGTTAACAAATGGAAAATTTAATTAATTTTACAAAAAGAAAAAAATATTTTTCATAAAAAGGTTCTGCATCACATAGAAATCAATAATCAAATTTGTAAGATATTTATTAGTAATACATGGTCAATCACAAATATTGATTTATGCTGAGAGGTACTTTTAAATTTAATTACAGAACAAAATGTCATTTGAAAATAATTAAGCCTAGTAATTTTAAAGTAAAAAAAAATAATAGATTTTCCCTGTACACCACTAAATATTTTACAAATTTGATTCTTGATTTCTATATGATGTAGAACTTTTTCAGATATACTGTATACTAGGGTGTGTCATTTTTGAGCAACTTTTTTTTTCAACTAAAAAACGGGCTTAAAACTTTCAGGAAGGTGAAAAAATAAGCCTCTAAAAATTTGAGCTCTTAATATTATCATTTAGTGGTGCCTGTTCCTAACTTTCCATTTTCCATCTAAATAACATTTCTTTTTTCTTATTTTTGTAGCTTGACATTTGAGCATTGTAAAAATAAAATGAAAAATTATTTTGGTAGGAAATTGAACGCTCTATAAAAAGTTCTAATTTATTTTTTTCATAGAGTGAGCCGTTCTAAAGATATTCAAACTTAAAGTTGCAAATGTATGAAATTAGGATTTTTATTTTATTAAACTAATACTGATGACTTTTTTGTCTTAAAAATTATTTTTAATCAGAAAACCGGTTTTGCGCTAATATTTTTAGAAAGCTAAAATAAAAACAATTACATCTTATATTATTTGATTAACTGTTAAACAAAAGTAATTATGAATTAGGTTCAGTAAAATTATTATTTTATAGATTAAAAAAAACTTTTTAACAATTAGCATACTAAAATTTTGAAACTAATAGATATTTTAATGTCTTATCAGAATTAAATAATGTAACTATATTTGTTGAAGTTTTTTTATTACAATTTGGATATTTTCGTCGGTGCTCCTTTGCCACTTGTAATAAATATTAAAGTTGTTCCTCATCTTTATCTATTATATTCTTCTGCGACGCCATGTCCTGCAACGTCAATGACAACTTTCAATTTTTCGAAAAACTCCAAATTCTCTTGCTAACTTTCATTATCTGGCCAAATTAGGACATCTGCATCCAGAAAGTCGTACGGCAAATCAAATTTGTCAAAAAGTTACAATGATTGTTTTGAAACAAAGTCACTCATATTTTTCTTTAAAAATATTTCTGGTGAATTTTTGTCTCCTGTGCGTCGTTATTTTCTTTCTATATGAAAATAATGATGTTTTCTTGAAAATAAAAGACATAAAAAGTCATCAGTTTAATAAAATAAAAGTCCTAATTTCATACATTTGCAACTTTAAGTTTGAATATCTTCAGAACGGCTCACTCTTCGAAAAAAATAAATTAGAACTTTTTGTAGAGCATTCAATTTCCTACCAAAATAATTTTTCACTTTATTTTTACAATGCTCAAATGTCAAGCTACAAAAATAAGAAAAAAGAAAATTTTTTTTCCATGTTATTTAGATGGAAAATGGATAGTTAAGAACAGGCACCACTAAATGATAATATTAAGAACTCAAATTTTTAGAGGCTTCTTTTTTCACCTTCCTGAAAGTTTTTAGCCTGTTTTTTAGTTGAAAAAAATAAGTTGCTTAAAAATGATACCCCCTTCTGTAAGTAGCTTGCAGATTTCAGGGTATACGAAAAAAAAAAAAAAAATTTAATGCGATACCCTGTACATTATTAAATTTTTGAATGATCTTTTTTCTGATTTCAAAAATATATGCCGTTTCTGAGTTATTAAACGTCAAATATCTTAGTTAAACTACTGTATGTATGGAAAAGTTAACATTAGAAATAGAAAAATTTTATTCTCAGTAATACATAATATAAAAATGTTTACATAGTCGTCAGTACACACATAAATAATGGTAAAATATACATTTTACATACATTAACATATAGCATATAAAATTTAAAATAAAATAAGATTTTAAAGTGATTGAAGGAAGTTGATTTCTCTTAAAAAAAAAAATCAGATGTTTAAGAATGCTAGACTATTTAGAATTTAGTAGGGTGAGAGCACAGTGTAAAAAATTAACACAGGAGTGTTTATAAGAATTATTTAAACAAATTAAATAGTGATCTGACTACGAATCCAAGAAATGTCCTGGAAATTTGTAAATAAAAAATGGAATTCCAAAAAATATGAATCTGAATAATGTAATGGCTACTGATGGTCAAGAAAACTAGATCTTTTTGCTAATCACTTTGCTACAGTCTTCTCAAATTCAAATGCGATACCTTCTGAAAAATCTTTACCACAAATTAATATTAACTGTCCAGTTGTACGTGTGACTGAGGTATTTGAAAAGTTGGGGTCATTGCCTAATAAATTAATGATTGGTGCTGATGGTAGCCCTATTTTGGTCTGGAAGCAGTGTAGATATTCATTATCTCAGCCTTTGTGTAAGTTATTTAACATAACTTTGGCTACTAGTGTAATTCCAGCCGTTTGGAAAAAAAAGTTTTGTTTCTCCTATATTTAAATCAGGGTCAAGAAATGGTATTAAAAACTATCGTGTATCTATACTATACAGTTTTCATTCCCAAAAGTTTTTGAAAGTTTAATGTATAACTATTTGAATTGGCAGAGTAGAGATTATAATTGATGAGCGGCATGGCTTTAGGGGATGTCATTCTACAGTAACCAATTTACTTATATATAATAGTAAACTGTCAGATGCCTTGGAGAGAGGGTATCAAGTTGATGCCATATATATTGACTTCTCCAAGGCATTTGACAGAGTTAATCACAGGTTGTTGACTGAGAAATTAAAAATGTAGGTTTTTCAGTCTAGCAAAATGGGTACATAGTTTTCTTAGTGATAGAAGATTGATGGTAAAAATCGGCAATTTTTGTCAGAAGATATCGATGTCAAGTCTGGGGTTCCTTGTCAACAACCGCAAAGATTGTATAAAGCATTGTGAATTTTTAATGTTCACTGATGATCTCAAATTATTTTTAATGGTTCTGAATGATTTTGATATTAGTTTAATTCAAAGGGATCCATCTAGATTTGTCTGATTGGTGTAAGTTAAACTTGTTGGATCTTGAACGTTAAAAAATTCTTTAAGATTTCTTTCAGTAAAAAGAAAAATAAGATCCCATCCTGTTATTCAATAGATGGTCATGTGCTGAATGACAAAGAATTGGCTAAGGATTTGGGAATACTTTTTGATTCTCAAATGATGTTAGGGTTTACTTTAAGAAATTGTTGTGAACTGTCTCTGGAAGCTGTGAAGTCAGTGTATGTTGGGTTGTTCAGATCACAACTTGAATATGGTTCAATTAGTTGGACGCCTCAGTATAACATTTATAAAGCATTACTAGAGAGAATACAAAATAAATTATTGAGATATTGTAATTATAGGTTTAACATGGATCTTAATGCTGATCATGACTAATCGCTAATTCTTCATAAACTAAAATTGCTTACTCTGGACAAAAGAAGGATTATGTATATTTCTCTCATTTATAAAATATTAAATGGTATTGTCTCATGTCCATCTTTGCTGTCTAAAATAAACATTGCAGTGCGACAAAGAATGCTACAGCAAAATAAATAATTTATTTTCATAGAATGAATTATGGTAGACATTCTTTTATGGACAGATCTCCAGAGTTTTTAAATATAGAAGGTAGGCTGGATGTTTTTAATAATTCTTTTCAAGTGTTTAAGAGCACTCTACTAAGGATACTTTGATGCAATATAATCGCTATTGAATAGGCTGTAGGCACTGAAATATTGTCATTGTATATTAGTATTAATATTCTTGTGATTTTTTTTGTTATTTTTGATAAGACTATTTCCTATATTTGGGAGCGTTCAAGTATTACGAAACGAATTGAGGGGGAAGGGGGGTTTTGAACTACGCGTTACGTACCATTATTATTTTTTAACCCTTCAGAAAAGCCGCGTAGAGATTCTCTCACGCATTTTTTAAAACATTTTTTTTCTCAAAAATTTCAAATGAAGTGACATAATTGTGATTTGTAGGTAAAAATAGTCACTTGGTGGTTACGTAACCTTTTACTGGGGGGGGGGGGGGGGGGGGGGGAGAGGGGTACAGAAACACGTTACGGCGCGTTACATGGGGGGGAGGGAGGGTTAAAAATATCCAAAAATTGCGTTACGTAATACTTGAACGCTCCCTTTCTAGAATTACTTATTTGTTAAATTTAATAAAATATCATGGTTGGTAATAGTATTAAAAAAATATAAATACAGTATTAACAAAAATATTAGGTGACATGCGAGGTGACATGTTTCACTCTTATAAAATAATGTTATATATATATATGTTTCTTGGTAGATTACGGATGAGGGGCGGAAGCGCATTATAGAATGAAATGCCTATTGTTTGGGACTTATTCTAGTTCTTGTTTGGATAAGCTGATTTTTTGCTCTGGTATGGTATGTATGATTGTCTAAGTGACATGTGAAGTTTCCCAAATTATTTTTCATAGCTAGCAAGTTTTCAAAAACTATTTGTGAAAACAACTAAGTTGTTTAAATAGTGGTTGGCATGGTTCATTATAATTTACCCACAGAATAGAGAGAACTGCTGATTTTTGCAAGATAAAAGTCTTTGTAGTGAAGTGAAGCTACTAGCATTTCCCAAAGTTAGAATCCCATATGTTAAATTGGAATGGAATAAGCTATAATAAGTAGTTATTGCATAAGTTCCATGTAAGTTGTGTATCAAAATATATACCGAGAAATTTAATGTTCATTGTTTCACTAATAGTTTGGTTTAACCTGAAGACACATATTTAGCTTCAGTTATAATCTTACAGTTTTTGATAACTATGTACTATGTCAGATGTGTTATTGCAGTGATAGGAGAAATTGGTATCATCTGCATACATAGTAGTTAGTATTTCGGCATTCTTTGAATTCATATACGATGGAAGATCATTGGTATATATTAAAAATAATAGAGGGCCTAGTATGGATCCTTGTGGGACCTCTTTTCATTATTAAAGGTTTACTAAGTTTATTTCTGTAATATACACATTGTTGTCTGTTTTGCAAATAAGAAGCAATCATCTTATTTGCAATTCCTTTAATGCCATATTTGTTTAGTTTGTTGATTAACAATGTATGACTTACACAGTCAAATGCTTTAGACAGATCAGTGAATATAGCTACGCATTGGGATTTATTTTGACTCCTGAATGTTATTCATTAAAGCTAGCATGGCAGCTGAAATTGTTCTTCTGTCTAAAACCATATTGTTCCACAGAAAATTAAACTATGAAAATGACAACTATTATGATAAGTGACAATTCTTTAATGAAATAAAATGGTTTACCATGAGGAAAAAAGTCCAAATATTTATACAACATTTATTTAGGAAATATAAATAAATGATAACTTATGAAAGATGTTCAATATGTCCACCATTATTGTCAATGCATAATTGATAGTCTTTTCATATTTATAATTGCACCAGAAATGGTTTCATTAGTGATATTCAGATTGTTTATTTCAAGTAGAATCCTGTCTAAATAGCTTGAATACTATTATTATTGACAATGTCTTTTAAAAATTCCCAAAAAAAAATAATACATAGGGATCAAATCCTCTATAGGGAATACATTCAAATGATCACTGTAAACCATTTACCTAATTTCATATAAGGATTGTCACTTGTCAATCAGAATAGTTGTCTTTTTCATAGTTTACTTTAATAATGTTACTTTTCCATGTACACAGTAACTAGTTTAACTAAGATATTTGATGTTTAAAATCTCAATAACGGATAAGTAGGGGTAACATATTTTTTAAATCGTAAAAAAGATCATTCCAAAAATTTAATAATATACAGGGTATCCCATTAATTTTTTTTTCGTATGCAGCGTGTACCTTTGAAAATATTTTAACAAAATTCGGTAATAACTACACAACTTTTATTTATAACTTTTTTTCATAGGCAATATTAAAGATGATAAGTGGTCAATAATTTATAATGAATACAATATTTTTTTCAGCTTTCAGTAGAATATATTAGATGGCTTTAACTATTAGTTAATAATCAAAAACAAGTATGCACAGGGCAATATTCAGATTCAGACGCTGCAAGCTTCAACCAGGAGGACAAAATAAAGACATTTTTTAAATGTATTTTAGTATTGTTACAACTGTGTGATATTTTGTAAATTATTATGCTGTTGACATTTGATTGTATTTTTAAATGTCTGTCAGTAATGGGAGTTGACCGTATATATAAAAGAATAAAAAACCTATCGACATCAAATATAATGTTTATTCCGATTAGTAACACCCTTAGTATTTCGTAAGGGCGGGTTGCAAATAAGGAATAATTTTATTTAGCACTTCAAAAACACCACAATTACCATTTAATTGGTAATTATGTGAACAATTAAGTGCAAATTTTACAACATGACATTCAAAATAGATTTAGAAATTGTTGATTATTTATATTTAGATTCTATATTGGGTTAGACTATATTTCATAATACATTACAGAAAAAAATTCCAAATAGTATACACAAAAAAATAATGTCATGATATCCCTGTTCCGACCCTGTGCCTGTGTACGCACGCGGCCTTCACATGGCCAACCAACTCGTGATCGAAGCAACGCTGACGTGTGGAAACAGCCGGACCGCGTCCCGAATATACAAGAAACGACAAAATGCCTGCCGCTGATGCCCTAGAAACAGCTGGAACAGCGGAGAGTGCCACTTAGTCATAAAAAAGGAATGTTTGAGAGTCTCTCGTATCTTCCAGTAGCGGAGTTGGACTAATATAAATAGCCGACGTATCAGCGCACAGTTTAGTTGTAATAGACAGTTGAATATAGAACATTGTATTGAAAAGTTAAAGTGTAAGAAATAAATTAGAATTGTTAGTTAGTGTCTAAATATTATATAAATTAAATAGTACGTCTGAAATAAATTGTAAATAGTGTTTTTAAATAAATTAGACTTTTGTCACAATAAGAAAGGTAAAATTGTATAATACACTCATAAATGAGACATACAACAATATTGCACTAAAATCACAAGTAACAGTTAATTACATATTATATTGATGTTTACTGCATTTTGTGCTCTTAAAACCACAAGGTCATATGTAAGTTTTTAAGAAAATTAATGGATAATATTAACTAGTACTGTTAACTGGACAAAGATTGCATGTGAAATAAAATTCTAACTCCATTAAAAGCTGAATGTGCATTTGAAACCAAACTTGGATTAAAAACTGAACAACAGGAAAACCTCGTTAACCTAGAATTGTACAATAAAAAATATAGTGAACCTCTGCCAATAAAACAAAAAGGAAAACCTTTGCAGCAATGTACCATAATTTGTACACATCTCTTCCATGTAGTTCCTACATGGTCAATTGACTTCTAGAAAATTATCAGAAAGAGGATATGATGACATTATTTAAAATACTTTTTTACACATTAGTTATTTTTGTATTTTTAATTAAATAATATCTAATAAAGTTTGCATTTTTTTACTACATATTATGTAAAATTATTTGTGAAATTAACCAAAAGGCCTTGTGTAGCTCCTTATGCAAAAAAAATAATTTAAGTACATGATTTTAATTAGAAATAACTACAAAAGATGCATTTGTAATGGATTAAAAAAAATGGATTTCTCAATTTTATTTTAATCTTGGTTAATGGATTGTTAAGTACTATGAAATGGCCACCCAAAACAACTGATTTGTAACCTTTTATAGAACCAATGTACTTTGTAAAATAGCTGCCATTTATCAAACTAAGTAGTTAAAGAACAATATATAGTTATGCAAATAAATGCAGTAAAATTTCTCCATAAAGGTCCAAAATATTTGAATGTAGAACGTATTAAGTTTCAAAAGTAGTTATCTAAATATTACCAATCCATATTTAAAACTAAAAAACTTTATACAATTTTATGTAAGTAAAATTCATTAAAAAATCAATCGCATATTCTGCATACCTTATGATATTTACACTCTAAATCGTGAACTTCTTTAAAAAACTTTGCTTCAATGTGGGTAGTCTCTAACTGGATTTTTTTTAAAGCTTTGATTCTCCTTTTAACAGCTGGAGGTAATAGTGCCAGCATTTCAGCGTTTCGCTGTTGTTGTAAAGCGGCATAAACATTTGGGAAGTTTTCGATATGCTTGGATATTTCCTGTCCGATTTCTTCCTCTTCTAAAGATTCAACATCATCGGGACAATCTCCAGCCTGTTCCTGATCAGTTGCCATCTTGCTGTAACAATCAAATAAATATTTAAATAAGCGTGCTTAAAAACAACATAAAAATTTCAAAATTTATTTCAAGTGAATGCTGAAAATTGGAAAAACGAATTTGAAATTACTTTATTACATACACGTGCACCTAAGAGCAGAAAATAAAATGTCAAATAACAGTCAAGTTTAGAAGCAAATCAAGAAGTTTCTTAGCCGTCTACGAGTTAAAATTGAATCAAATTTAAAGACAGTGCGATAAGAGATAAATTAAATAATTTTTTACCTTTACAATGTAAATTAAACGTGGTATACACCAAGCTATACCGACGGCGTCAAATGGAAGAAAGGCAGAAAAAATGAAAAATTTGCCGATGCGACAGTCGAATTCTAATTTAATGAAACGTAGTTGAATAATCGATTCTTTTGTTGAAAATCGTAACCGATTAATTTTTCGATTTTTGTAAAACATGTAAAAAAAGCTTTATTTTAACAATATACATGTAATATTATCACGAACTATGTAACTGATGCTTATTTATTGGCTTTAATGTTCATATACTTTAATATCTAAATGCATACAGGTAAGAAAAATTCAAACTGAAGTAATCGCTAGTTTACATCAAATTCAAGACCATTCAAAATCATTCGATTTTTTTTGTTACGCTGGCTGCCGGTCCATTGTTCATTTTCGCCAAATTTTTGGAGGTACATTTTTCGCCAATCGAGATCTGATTCCTTTCATCCTTCTCTTTTTTTAAATATTGCCTGGTAAATCCAATCCTCTATCTTTTTAATCGATTCAAGTTTAGAGTGAATGCGATTTTTTGAAAGTCGTATGACGAGTATAGATAGGTACATAACTAATTGATTTTTATTAATATGTATTGTACATAAATATATTAAATTTGATATGTTTTTATATTTATAATTGTGGTTATTTTTTTAGAATTCATGACAGGCAATCGCCAATGGACAAAAAAACAAGACTTCAAAATGACAGTGTATTGACTTATTGACATGTAGACAACAGCGTACCCAGGATCTGAACGGGGGCAGACCAATAAAAAAAAAACAATAGTTATTATTTTCTTTTTATTAGTTACTAATACCAACATTCTATAAATTTGTAGTACAGTAGTGGTTTATTTTTATTGTTTTTTATATTTTCTCTACTTTAGGTGTCTGATTTTTTTGATTTATTATAAAATTCTAGGGTCTTAAGGCTGTATGTCACGATACTAAATTAAGTACTAAATTTAGTACTAAATTAATGCATTTTTTAAGTACTAAAAAAATTCACGTTGCAAACAGCAAATTTAGTACTAAATTTAGTGCTAAAAAAAGTCATTAATTAAGTACTAAAAGTGCGCCGAAATGTTGCGCAGAAGTTTTTCATAGAAAAAGTTGACACGACGGTATTTTCTGTACCCTTTTATTTTTAATTAGCGACAATTTTACATTATCGCCTTGAATAAAGTTCGCTTGTTTGATTTTGTAGGTTTTATTGTGTTTTTTTCGTGGTTTTTATGCTGTATTTGGTTGTTGTCAAGTCAACTAGTGTCAAATTGATAATAAAAACACCATTTACTTGTCTGTTTTACACATAATATTTAATTTCTCTGTTAATTTTACGTATTAATACGTCAATGCGCGTGCGCCTATAGTAAATTTAGTACTAAAAATTGGTATCGTTGCAAACGGAAAAAAAAATTTTTAGTTCTAAATTTAGTACTAAATTAATAACTTAATTTAGTGCTAAATTTAGTACTTAATTTAGTATCGTGACATACAGCGTTTAGGGGGCAGCAGCGCCAGCAGCCCCTACCTGCCCCCCGACCAGTACGCCCTTGCATACAGATTCGATTTTCACATGGTTTGAAAATAGAAAAATAATATCCCTATGATGGCATTTCGGATATGTTTGGGATTTCGGCTCTTTTAATTTGTGATTGTGATTTGTGATGTGATCAAATTTATCTGGACAACATTACAAATAACTTTAAATCTCCTCAAAAATTATTCAATTATGAAATAGTATTTTTTCTTAAATTTTCTTTACAAATAATACAAGATGAGACTGACAAGAAAGAGACGATTAATGATGAAAGCAACAAAAATTAAGCCACAGAAACTGGATAATTTAACTCAAAACGAACAGGATCAAGAGGATGAAGATTCTGAAGAAACGGATATTAAACAGGAAGAAATACCTTCAACAAGTACTTCTGAAGAACATATTGAAATTGAAAAAACTCGAATTAAAATATGCAGATTATGTTTAGTCTTTACAGAAGAACATTATATTTCGCTAGATAAAACCCTTGCCATGCTTCAAATTGTTCTTCCAGAAGTGGTGAGTATTTGACTATCATATTCTATAGAATTTAATTTAATTATTTTAAAATGAGCAGTTTTTTATATTAAATATAATAATAATAATATGTATTTATGTTAATTTTTTGTTTAGGATCCAAAAATTACTAAAGAACCAGTCGTTTGCCGTAACTGTTCTGAATTTCTTGAAAGTGCTTCAACTTTTATAATAAATAGCTTAAATGTTGAACAAAAAATTAAAAATTACTATGACACAGTTAAAACAGAAGAACAAATAGATTTGTTCAATGTATTGGAATTTGCTTTTCCAAAAATTGAAATGGACAATGATCATGAAAATTTAAATGGAAATCCAGATTTTGTCCCTACTGATTTGTTAGAAATAAAACAATCTAATGGTAATGGATCAAGCAGCCAGAGTTCTAAAGAGAAAAAGAAGTCTCCTACGTAAGTTTTTTTTGATTCATTCAATTAAGTTTTGCACAATTTGTAAGGTTTATTGAATACATAATTTAATTTTCACTTATAATATCACTAGTGCCTATATTATTTTCTTTATAATAGTTATGCCTAGGGTAAAAGAGATAGAATCTTTTTTAAATCACTATTGACTTTTAATACCTCGACAATAGTCTAAAATCTACAAAATTTGGTATTTAAGTATTTTAGAAGAAACAGGTCAATATCAGGTGACCTGAGGGCCTATTTCATAAAACTACTTTGCAAATTTAGATAAATTTGTGTTTCATAAAAGAGAAATTTGAAAAGTTAACGATATTATTTTATGACACACAAATATTTTGCACTCATAATTGTAAAAAGTACAAAGTGAAATTTTGTAAAGTAGTTTTATGAAATAGGCTCCTGATAGGCCATTCAATATTTTTCAGAAAAATAATTTAGTTTTACAAATTTTACAATTACTTTCTAGAAAAGTATCAATTATGTATTTATTTTTGTCCCATATTGAAAAACTTATTCGACCACAGTCATCTTAATTGTTTTGAGAAAAGATTGAAATACTAATTGTTATTTCAACAGCAACATTTATAAATTTTATTGACTCTTTGATTACACTACTACTACCTACTTAAGATTCTTACATTTTTTTACTACCTACCTCTGTCAATAAAAAAGAAACATTAATTTATTTATTATTATACTAATTTAATTTTTTATGATTTGTAATGTGTTCTGTAAGTAAGTGTGTTTACCTGTTTGGGCGCTATTTCGATACATGCTATTTTTATTTGGTGCTCAAAAAATAGCACTGACTTGATAGGGTCAATGATATATAGTTATATAGATTGTTCATCCATATGTTGTTTAAAATAAACATGAGCTCATGTCTTGAAGTAAAAATGTAGGTAATTAAGTTTATACTATATTCAAAGCCTGAAATTTGGTCTCAAATACATTTTTGATAAGCAGTATGGCCACTCACAATGTGCTCTGCTTTTAGCAATCTATATAACTATATATTATCATTGATCCCCTCAAAGCCAACACTCAGCCATTTGAACAGGTTGTTGCCAAATTGTTTCTGCAGCAGTTTATGACAGTTGGAGCAGTGGCGACTCGCGATAATTTAAAAAGGGTGTTCACTTTTTCCAATAATATTATCATTTGTAAGTGTGGTTCAAAACTTTGTACAAGCGCCAATATGGCTGTTCTTTTTTTATTTGGGTTTATATTAAGTGTAGTTATTATTATCAATATCGTACTGTTTGCAAGCACTACACTTATTAATGAATATTTTAATTATTGTGATATTTGTTTTGTTTTTAATACGTTGAAAACCATTTATAAACATTATTAGTTATAGTCAGCTGATTATATGAAACTTTACCTACTGCTTTTCGGTTTTTATTGTAAATTTAATCATTTTCACAATTTATCGGGCATGTCAAATAAAATAATATATTTTTTAAATACCTTTTATTACTAAAATACACTAAAATGTTTATTGTATAAGATCAGTCCCATCACAATACATAACATTACCCACATACAAACCAGAATGAAGATAATGAGTGGCATTCTAAATTATACTCTTCACAGTTTATTAAAACCCCCTTAACTCCCATTTTCAATCAGATTTTTTCAGAATCAATAGGCTTATTGAGCTTGATTTTTACTAAAAATTTCATGTTGATTTCGCTTTTCATTTTTTAATTTTTTTTTAATTTCAACCCCCTTTAAATCCCCATTTTTAATCAGATTTTTTTTAATCAAAGGGCTTCTCCTTATAGAGCTAGATGTTTGCTAAACATTTCATGTTATTATCACTTTTTGTTTTTCAATTTGATTTTTTTTTTTTAATATCAACCCCCTATTTTTAATCAGATTTTTATTAAAATCAATAGGCTTTGTTCCCTTATAGAGCTTGTTTTTTGCTTAACATTTTCAAGTTGATATCATTTTTCGTTTTTGACTTATCGTGCAGACAAAAAATGTGACATTAGACAAAGTAAACCTATAATACTTCTTCACAGACTACTATGTGAAGAGTATATTAATAATATAATCAAGGCTAAAACAATAACATAATAGACTAAAAAAATAGGTACAATAAAAAAATATTAAAGTCAAAGTTTTGAAAATTATTAAATGGATAATCCAGTGCCTCGGAGGTAAACTGCAGTCATTCTAGTCAACTTTTTAGTAGAGCAGACTGAATGTTGTTTGAACACTGAACGCTTCTCACTCATTCGGGCGGCTTACTTATAAAAGAGCGCCACGGATACAGGATTAACCAGTGCGCAGTGGCGTACCCAAAAATAGATATTAACACATGAAAACAATAAAATTATTAAATTTTATGGTTATTTATTTTAAAATAATGTGTTTTTATGAAATGTAACTGGGTGTTCACTGCACAAAGGAACCAATGGAAAAACCGCCTCTGGTCTGGAGTATGCACGTGCTTTTTATGGCATTTTAAAGCTCTAAGGTCTTCAAAAATTGTACTTGATGTGACAAGTATCACCCTATACGTTTAAAGTGTTTGACTACGAAAAGTAAAAAAAAAACTTATTACAATGAGCTTATTCAAAATATATATTTTTTTTAATTCAAACATTGAAAAAACATAAAAGTTATTTCACAAAAAACATATTTTAAATAGAACAGTAGCTAGTACCTTAACATCCATATCATTATATTCAAAATGGAAAATTTTGTTAATATTACGTTTGGAAAAATTTCGACATTTTTTGAAAAATCGTTCAACAATTTTTTTTAAATCGAATTTACCAGAAAACTTACGTCAGTAACTAACTTTGACATGGGCTATTTTAAGAAGAAGAATCTTTATTTAAATAGCACATCCTAATATACATATAAGATAAACAAAGTACTTTAAATATAATATTTGAAAATATATATTCATAAAAAAAACACATTGGATAAAACTTACATACTAACTAAAATAAAAAAAATGAGTATATCTACTAAAAAGTAGAAGTCAATCAAAATAAATTTTTTTAATTTTTTATAAACATTTTCAAATAAGTTTTAAAAGCGTTTATGTTACAGGCTTTTAAGTGATGTGGCAACTGATTATTTTCATGAAAACCTTTAATAATCAATGAATTCATTGAACTAGTGAAGTTAGTTTAATTTATGAAGATATTTATATTTCTAGTGTTATGTTAATGTACTTTGTTATTAAAAATTAAATATTGTTGAAAGTATGCCAATGATTTAATTATTTTAAATATAAAAATTATGGTGAAATAATATTATGATTTTTGGTACACTGAAGACTACCCAAGTGACTTAAGCATGGAAGAGATTGGTGAAACAGATATAGTATTGAGGCGCAATAATCGAAGTGCGGTGGAAATATGGTGTTATAAACAGTAATTTTAGTATTAATTGATAAATTCCCATAAAAAAGTAAGAGTTTTTTGATATCTTTTGTCAATATAACTAAAATGATCATCAAAAACAAAATAGATTGTCAAGTTGAAAACTTAAATTTTTTCACTGTTGATTTGTAAATCAATGTCATCAATATTATTTAATGAAGTATATTTATATTTAGTACAAAAAATAAGAGAGTAGTTTTGCTGACTTTTAATTTTATTTGTTTAGTTTTAAATAATTAAACTGTTTAAGTAATTTGTTAAATTTTTATCACCACTTGCAATCATGGTATCGTCACCAAAAATGTTTAACAAATTCACAATCGACAAACAATTCCAAATCATTTAGGTAAAGTATAAAAAAGAAGAGGGCCTAGGACACTACCTTGTGGAACCCCTACATTGATTTCCATTTCAGATGACACCGAGTTGTTAAAACACACTTTTTGTTTTCTATGAGTAAGATAGTAGTAGTCTAGCCAATTCCATATTGTTGAAGTTGTTTTATTATAAAGTTTCTATCAATGGTTTCAAATGCCCTTTTTAAATCTAAAAAGACACCAACCGTGTACATGTTTTCATCTAAATCATGTTTTAATTTACTTATAGTCAGTTGTCATGATTCACATGAGTATTTTTTTCTGAAACCTTATTGATTATTTATTAAAATGGAGTTATTTTCAACATGTAGTATTAACTGTCTATATACAACAAGTTCAAGAAGTTTTTGATCGGCGTTAACAGGTCTAAATTCCTATGCTTTTGTAGAAGCATGTAGAAGCATACTAGAATCAAGGGAAGTATTAACTATATTTAGAATGACATAACCAATTGTTTAAAAAAATTCTTTCAATGTTTTTCCATTTATTGTTTCTAAAACAGAACCTTTACCGTCAAGCTAATCTTTGCCTTTTCAGGATAAATATTTGTGTAATATTTGTTAAAATAAAGATGATTTTTTATTATTAATATTATAAAAGAATTCACTATAGTACGCAATTCTTTAAAAGGTTTTAAATAAGCTGAGGTGATTGCCCTACGATGTTTTTTTCCAATCGTAATAATAAAAAATTCCAATATAGATCCAACACACACAATGTATATAGGGTAGCGAGAAAGTCTGGCAACAAGGTATTTTCTTTGAAACGAATGAATGTATAGTTAGGAAATTATAGAGTTATGAATGGGACTGTTTTCTGTATTTTTTGAGAGGAAATTTTTGTGACGTCAGCGTTTAGCGTACCGCCGCCAACTTGATTTTTTTTAAATAGCCACGTATGTCGAGTGATATATCAGAGAAAAGCTTATTTTTTCCTCTTTTCAAGAATACTAAAAAAGTACCACATTACTAATGTAATACAGTCCCATTCATCGCCCTAAAATACCTTGTTACTAGACTTTTTCGCTACCCTGTAAGTGTAAGATCAGAAAAACACAATAATAATGTAATACAGTCCCATTCGTCGCCCTACAATTTCATAATAATTATACATTCATTCGTTTCAAAGAAAATACCTTGGTACCTACCTTTTCGCTACCTCATATATCCAATTTCAATGGGAGGCAAAAGCGGTAGGAAACACCTTTATGGTTTTGTGACGTCATGTACTGTACAGTTCATCAAATTTCTAGAGGTGTTCGACGCCCAGACAGAGAACGCGCTACGTGTGACTAAGATAGCTATTGTACAGTCTGCTAAACAAGTTATTTTAAATAGTTTTTAATATTTTTAGGTAATTAAATTTTAAAAGTGTGGAATAGTTTAGGGATTAAATTGGTCTGATTGGACTTTCTTAGAACGATTTTAAAAGCAGCTAAAGATAGTATGTAGAATTGAAAATAATTATTATGCCATAAAAGGTGTTTTGGAATTCCTTCAACCTTTTGAAATTCCTTCAACCTTTTGAAATTGAGTCAGAAAATATAAATTTTATAGGATAGCGGAAAATACCTATAATTTTTTTGTAGGCCTTTGTAAATCGTGGAAATAGTTTATATTTTATTTCTACCTCATTAAGGAAAATGGTACCTATTATTAATAACGGTTGTTTCTGAAACATTACTAAAATTTTCGAAATTTTGTTTTTCTACAAAATAATAAACTATACTATTTAGAAAAAAAATTATTTCTCTTATAATTTTATAAAAAATAACAGGGGAATATTTACATTTCTTGATCTATTAAACAAAACGATAAATTATCTCGACGAATGACACCATGTTCTAGTACGGAAGCTAGCTTTACATTTTTGTTGGTGGTTTCATGGGTTTCATATAAATTTTTTGTAATTGTAGTTTACACGTACATATACCTCTTAACACTTGTTTGCTTTATTAAAAAAGTGTGTTGTTGTGATTTACGTCGAAATAAGTCAAAAACAACTTGAAACCCCATATAAAATCAAAAAGGAGAAACGGAAAAAAATTGAGCCTGTAAATGAACACAACTCAGAAACAAAAATAGCTATCTAATAATAAAAAAATAAAATTTGATTCTTGTGCATCTTCGTTGTAAAAATAGATAATACTTTTTTGATCTTAGGTACAGATATAATTTTAATGGTCTTCCGAAAAACTTTCTTCAGTTTCCATATCAGATTCAAAATCAGTCTCACTGTCACTGTTTAAGTTAATTATAAATCTATCAGTTGCCTCATCCAAAGTAACTTCTCTGTCATACAATTTAGATTCCCACATTTTAGCATTATTACAACGAGATTGCCACTCCTCTTTAGAAAACGTATCAAAAAAGTCTTCACACAACAGTTTTACGTCTTGCCTCTTAAATGTAGTGTTGTTACTAGCTACATATTGTTTCAATGATGCCCACACTAATTCGATCGGATTAAGATCGGGATGATACGGTGGCAAACGCAAACAACTAAAACCATGTTCATTTATCATTTCTTCAATTGCATACCTCTTAAATCGTGACTTATGCAATAGCACTAAACTGTATAATTGCGTTTTGAGCATATCCTCTTCGTAAGCAATATTATGATTCCTTAACCAATCCTGCATGTCAGCTTTTTTAGAAGTTGACGTTGGTGCTTTATTTACCTGGACATTATGGTAAGGAGCATTATCAACAATAATGACGCTTCTTGGAGGGAGGTTCGGAAACAGCTTTTCTTTCAACCATTTAGAAAAATTATTAAAATTCATTTCATCGTGGTTGTCTCCACTTTTGGTTCCAGATTTGAAAATTAACCGGGCATTCGGAATAAGACCCATTTCACCTCCTGCATGGACAATAATTAGTCTATCACCTTAATTAATTGGTTTCTTTAATCCCTCATTTGAATTATCACTCCAAGCTTTCTGGTGTGTGTGGGAGGCATGAATGTATGTTTCATCTAAGTAGACAATTGGACGGCCCTCTGCTCGATAACTTTTTAAACGAATCAGATAGTCTAAACGTAGCTTTTGAATATCAAACCTTTCCATTAATATTTTTCTGTTTGTTTTTGTTTTCCGCCAACGAAATCCTAGCGACTTTATTATTTTTCTTAACTTTCATAGCTTCCTTTGTACCCTGTAGCTTCTCTAAATTTAGTCAGAATTGTTTTTAATGTTGGAACAATATTTTCCGAGATTAACATGAACAGAATAATTCTTTTTAAAATACCTTTGTCAGCTTCATCTATATCATTAACTGTTTTTGGTTTTTTAATGGTTTTTCTTGGTGATGAAAATTCCGATATCTCACGGTTATCGATTCTTTTTTTTCTCTCCAGAAATGCGGACGACAGTGTTTTTAGATACTCCTGTGGCTGCAGCAACACGATCATTTACATTTTTAAATGGTATTGAAGGTGAATTAAAGTTTCCTTCTCTTCTCATAAACTCTATAACATTGGCTATTATTTCGCGAGATTGACTGTTAATCACGCGGCCTCTTAATTTGCTATTAAACTCCATACTTAGGTTCTATTAAACTGTAATGAGCAAAAAACACAAACGAAAATAAAAGAAATGTTTTAGCGAAATTTACATCTGACATTTACGTCTGAATAAAATAGTGAAATACTTGATGCGCAGAGTGTACTTTCATTGCGTAAATCCGTCGGCCCCGCCAACCGATGCCTCTCAGTAGTGCTTTCTCTGTCTAGCCGTCGAAAGCCTCTAGAAATTTGATGAACTGTATAACGGTGGATCTGTAGGCGCGTTATTCTAGAAAACTAAGTTTCGATCTAGTATTTTTAATTTTTTTATTTAAATAATTTTAATAACTGTAACGCAATTTAAAATATTTCGATATGAGTCAATTACGAATGTGTATTGCTTTTGTAGAAAACTCCAAGTAAGAGCCGATTCGCACGGCATCACCTTCTACAATTGCGCGTTCTGTGATTTCACAACAAAATACAAATACAGCATGAAAATTCACAAGGAAATGATGCACACCGATCCGGACGACATAATCATGTACTCATGCGCCATGTGCACATTTAAGACAAAACACAAACGTTATCTCGAGACCCACATGCTTGTCCACAAAGATCCTGAGGACTGCGAGATGCACAAATGCAAAGTGTGTGAGTTTAAAACAAAATTCAAGAGCTACATGAAAACCCACATGCTCATCCACAAAAGTCCCGACGAGATCCCGATGCACAAATGCGAATATTGCAGCTTTAAAACCAAACATAAAAAGTATTTGGACACGCACGTGATGATCCACATGAATCCGGATGATATTCCGATGCATCGTTGCACAGTATGCGATTTTCAAACCAAATCGAAACCTTATTTGAAAACACACATGCTCACTCACAAGAGTCCGGAGGAAGTTCCGATGCACAAATGCGAAGAATGTAGTTTTCAAACCAAATTTAAATACTATCTGAACAGACACATGCTGATCCATAAAAATCCGGAAGAAATCCCGATGTATCAGTGCGAACAATGCAGTTTTCGTACCAGGCATAAGAAGTATCTGGAGACGCACAGTATGATACACAAGAGTCCCGATGAATTGACGATGTATTCGTGTAACCAGTGCGAGTTTCAGACCAAATCTAAAGCTTATCTATTTAAGACGCACATGCAGATACATAAAAGTCCAGATGAGCTTGTGATGCACAAATGCAAATTGTGCGCGTTTAAAACCAGACACAAGAGCTACTTGGAGACACACATGCTCACCCACAAGAGCCCCGACGAGGTAACTATAGATTTATTTTATTAAAACAAAACATTGTACTGTAAAATCAGAGATATGCTAGATAAGTTTTTTGTCCAAATCTTTAAGTATTTGTTTTCACCTTTGTGGTTCAGGGGTGGTCTTAATAATTCATAGGGGGATTTTTGAGATTTGTTTCCGAATTTTCAAATTAGTCAGCCACTTATTTTAGATATTTTCTCTGACTTCGGATTTCGATTTGCGATTTTACTATAAATAAATTCACAATTTTCACACTCAGGTTTACGTCTCAACGCAGACGAAGATATGGGCTTCGTATGCATAAATGCATTCTCATATACACCGATGCTGTATAGAGGTATTTATAGATTTGAGAACAAGCTTGAACGTCGTCTGTCTCGAATTAGCACATTAAATTTCTGTCTAGGAATCTCGACAGTCAATGTCGTGATGGTCTAGAAGGAAGGGCACTTGTCTAGTATACAAGGATGTCCGGGTTCGATTTCCGATTGCGACAGGCTTTTTCCAAATTTCCAAGTATTTGTTTTCACCTTTCAGAATTTTGAAACATATTTCTTCAGGTGAACGTAATGGCATACTTTTTCGTTTAGTATATGAGTACAATAGCTAATATCCATGTGTGTGTGTAGAAAACATTACACATTGCTCCTCCTAGATTAAAAATGAAGTATAGGCAGCAGATGTTTGAATTTCATAGCCAACCATGATTGAAAAAAAAAACACTATGATATGTATAGTTATATGGTGATTTCTGTAGATGTAAGTTTTTTTACTGTGTATAGGTGACCATGCACTACTGCAACCAATGCCAGTTCCGCACCAAATTTAAGCACTACCTCAAACGGCACATGTTGGTCCATTTGGCGCCTGACGAGTGTGTCATGTACAGTTGCTACGAGTGTGATTTCGAGACCAAACATAAGAACTATCTGGACACACACATTTTGTACGTTCACAAGAGCAAGGACGAGGTGCCCATGCACGCGTGCTCGGAATGCGATTTCCGTACCAAGTCCAAAGGATACCTGAAAACGCATATGCTATTGCACAGGAATCCCAGCGAGGTTACGATGTATAAATGTAAAAAGTGTAGGTTTAAGACTAGGCACAAGAGCTATCTGAAAACCCATATGACTCACATGCATAGCCGGAAATTGTAGTTTCTTTTTTTGCAAGTATGATTGAATCAAATTTTAATTTAATACAATATCCAGCGTTACATGTGCAGGGTATGAGACACCCCTTTAAATAAAATAGCAATTGTTTGAAGAAAGTTCAACTCTACACATAGGTGAATTTTCAGAATAGTACAAGTTTGGGGTTTCTTAAACCCCAATCACAAGAATAGTATTATTAAAAAAAATAAAAAAATTGTGTTGTGTTAATGTGTTATAATTTTTAAACCATGCATGACATTCTTACCTTATTAGTAGAAAAATCTAATTTTAAAATTGAAACAAGATATTTTCCAATTAAATAAACGTATGGGTGTGAGTTACCCCATTAAATAAAACTGCTATTTCTGGAAAAAAATAATAGGTGACTTTAAATCAATTTACGTGTGGGGTGAATAATAAGCCAATGATTAATATTTTTTTTTATTAAAATAAATGTATATATGTAATCATGGTGTATTTGTGATGAGTTTTAAATCGTTTTTGGGGTGTGTTGTGCTTAATTGTTTTAAAAATAAAACCCATTATTTTTAATCGTGAAATTTTATCAAATTTGACAATGATGACGTCGTTTATAAGTTGGTCTAGAAACGTATCAAATAATTTATTTACCTTATTATTAATATTAATAAGAAAAAATATGTAAATTTAAAATTAATACAAATATTCCAATTCAATAGATGTAAGGGTGTAGACCCCATTAAATAAAAGTGTTGTTTATAGAAAAAAATAAGTTTTGCTTTGCATGGGTGAGTTTTTAAATCAGTGTACGTGGGTGCGTGCGTGCGTGCGTGTGGGTATGACAAACCTCGATGATAAAAATTGTTGAATTTAAAAATAATTCATTTTTACCTATGTGGGGGATGTCGTAGTCTCCAACGGGGTGTTTTTAAATCAATTTGCATGTGGGGTGAAACATACCCCAATGATTATTTTAGTAAAATAAATATAGAGTATATATTATTTTGTATTAGGCATAGCCATGCTTTCACAGTGAACACGTGGCAACTACGATATCCACGTTATCGCTATACACACTGGTTTTGTCACCAATATTCGCTTCGGTTAATATCCTACCACCATAACTTCTTATTCTAGTCGACGACTGTCTGTTGCCATTTTATTAACTTATATATATATTAACTAGTCATGTGCCTAACACGAAAAAATAAATACTGTATATATCCCTACACGTTGTACAAATTCATTAATTAAAAAAAGCCCATTGTATTCAATTGTGAAATTTTATAAAATTTTACATTAATGACGACATCTATACGTTGGTCTAAAAACTTATCAAATAATTTACGTTTGAATTAATTTTCTTGAGTGGCTTGTGTGAGTTTTTTATCGTGGTTTCCATTTTCATATGTTAGAAATATTAATAATAATAGATAATTGAATGATATTTATTCAAACTAATAATCAGGAGTTTTTGGCGAAAAATACTACACTTCCAATTTATGCGATTGGTAATTTAAAAAATTAAAAACTCCTGAATTGACAACAAAAATTAGAGGCTCCTAAGATACATTAGGTACCTATGTATTTGTAAAAAAATGTTTATTGTGTATATTCTAGTTATAGCATTTGACCCGAGAGATATTCGTTTTTATTTTAATTCCAAAGATAACGGTACCAAATCAGCATCACTCTAGTCCTAACTTTTATAAAATGTTCTACAGGTGTAGAAAAAAAATATTAATGATCTCATCTTTAGTTTATTAATTGTTTTGTTTTTCTCGTTTAGCAGCTTACGCAGCTTCGTAACGATTTATTTATAAAGAGTTAATAATTTTTCATATGATAATTATGACGATTTAACCTAAAACACTTAGATAAAATATTCCTTCTGAGATGCAAAATTCCGTTAGAAATAGCATCCAATAATTTTTGTTCATACCTGGAAACATTGTAGAAGATAGTTTCTTGCTAGAGGCATACAGTCGAGTTAGAGACAATTTTCCCACTCTACATTTTCTAAATATTGTCCTCTTATTTCATTGCGATAATGTCTCAAGAATTTTACGTTCAAATAATATCTCTAAATAATGACATTTCAAATTTCTCAATATGAACAAAAAATATTGCAAGGTTTAAGACAGTAATCTTATTTGTGAAAATGACAGTAGTCAAATGTCGTGGGTAGAGTCCGATTACATTAAGAACACTACGTATGTATGTTCATCGATAATTATTTACCACGGTGTCCGATTTCAATCATTCTTTTTTTGTTAGAAGGGGGTACTTCAGGGGTGGTCCCATATAAATTTGGTCAAAATCTGATAATTGGGTCCATGAGAAAATCCTTAAACTCTTAATTTTTTATGTATGTTTAGCGATAATTCTTTACCACCTTATCCGATTTCTAGGATTCTTTTTTGTTAGTGAGGGGTACCTCAGGGGTGGTCCCATATAAATTTGGTCAAAATCTAATAATTGGGTCCATGGGAAAATCCTCAAATCCTTCATTTTTTATGTATGTTTAGCGATAATTCTTTACCACCTTGTCCGATTTCTATGATTCTTTTTTTTTGTTACTAAGGAGGTACCTCAGTACGATTTTGTAGTCGGTTTTTTAAAATTACTTTTTATACTTTTCGATTTTCAAATACACCGTGTTGATTTAAAAAAAAAATACAGAGAATGAGTGAAAATTGGTAACCTCTTTAGAATCTTCAACTAGTAAAGTACATTGAATATCTTATTTTAGGTCTAATAAGCACTGAAAGCTTTTACTACTTCTTTTGCTGTTTAAAATATTTAGGTAGACAGTTGCAGTGAACAGAATATAAAATATTATCATGTATGTGACAATATTTTCCTGTGTAAACGCCTTTTAAATGTTTTGGGTTAAATTGTCGTATTTACTGCATTTACAATAGCAATTGTTAATGAAACACCCTGTAAATAGTTTTTAGAGCCTACTCTGCAGTTTGCAATTATTCTAGCTGAAAGTCAAATTGCTGCAATAATTCCTATTGAGTACAAAATAAATTGTTGTTTGTAGTAAAGCAAGGCAGAAGTTGAAAAGGCTTTTGGTAGGTGGAGAGGTGATAAAAACCAAACCTCATCGGACGACTTCGAGAATTTGGCGGTCGTCAGTGTCGTATTGTAAAATAAAATTAATACCAATAATTTTAAATAATTGTTATTGGCAGAACCAGGCAATCGTATGTATTTATGGGCTACAAATAATTATTTAAACAAGTATTAAAATATCCAAAATCATAAGTCTACAAAATGTTCACAGTTATTCATAATTTATTAACTATTTACATGAATACCCATGTTCACTTCAGGTAGCTCCTCAGAAAACTGTAAACTCCCGTGTATGAAGTGGGAGAACTACAAAAAGCCTGTCCAATTTCTGTTTGTGTTCTATGCTGTGCAATTCATGGCAAAAAGTCGTCAACTTAAGTCACTGAACAGTTACATCAACTGGAAACAGCTTCGCAAATATAACAAGCAAATTAGGTATACTTATTTAATAACTAAATAAAACATACAACATTGTTATTTATTTCATATTCCAGTAAGTTAGTTTACGGACTTTTCAATTGGATTGGCAAATTTCAGCTATTTTTGTTCAGAATTGTAGCTGCAGGGTACCCGTAGCTGAAATGCGTAGCTGCAACACCACTTTTACTTGTGACAATACATTTACAGTCACTATTTTATGAAATTGCAAGAAAAGTGGGTCTTTTTATTTTAAAGTGCCAACAGCTGTTTTTAAAATGTAGATAAATATCTATATGATGTTCCTTTAATGCCATATTTTAACGATTTTATTTAGGATAGATTTTATCCATGGATTATTTATTTTGTTTAGTGTTTGTTTTTGTTTTTTATTAAGCATAAGGTGATTTACGAAAATGTACGTACGGGGTTCTATCAAAAAAATCCTGAGAATTAGGAACTACTTTTTCAGATGTCAAACCTCTGAAAAAATGTAATAGACCTCGTATATCAAATTCATAAGAGGGAATATGGTTGTAGTTTTTTTTTTATAAAAACATACATAGTACCCACATAAGGAAGTAGAGCATGGAAATGGCGTAAACTTATTTAAAAGATATTTTTGTAATATTGCCAATATGTCAATAAAACGGTAACACCTAAAAAATCTGATGTGTCCAACACATGACTTTCCTATCTAGTTATTACATGCTTTTTCCGGTTATTTTGTACAACCTATTGCAGCACCTCTATAAATGTTTAGAGGATAAACTAAATATATACATTGTCCACATACATCTACCTCGAAACATTTTTCTATAGATATTCATTGAAAACGAAAATACTGAAAAATTTAAATTTAGCACTTTTCCATTACGGTCCATTTTAGTAAAATCATGTATAAACAAAAATTATAGAGATCGATATCGCAAACAACTTTTAGTTCAACAATTTTTATAAAAATCAGAATTTTGCACATTTTGTCAAATTTCTCGAATACGGACCATTTCAGGAAATTTTGACATAAAACAAAAATTATAGATAATAATATTAGAAGTAACTTTTATTTGAACAATTTTCTTCTCCAAACATAAATAAAAGATATATTCCATAAAATATAAAAACGGCCTCCCATAAAGTAGGGCCGAAATAAACCTTAAGTTTAAAATTTAATGTTTTTTTCTTTATCCGTTTTTGAGTTTTCTTCAAAATTCGAAATTTACACATTTTCTCAAATATCTCGAATACGGTCCATTTTAGAGAAATTATGTATAGAATAAAAACTATAGAGAATTATATTACAAACAACTTTTATTTGAACAATTTTTATAAAAAAATATTTTTTTTACATTTTGTCAAATTTCTCGAATACGGACCATTTTAGGAAAATTTTGTATGGAACAAAAATTATAGATAATTATATTAGTAACTTTTATTTGAAGAATTTTCTTCTCCTAACGTAAATAACAGATATATTCCCTAAAATATAAAAATGACCACCCATAAAGTACCCCCCCCAGATGTTC